GTAGATAAAAATCAATTGTGGTCTTAGCTAAAACTGTATTATCCTTAATTGTGTCCGGTATTGTGCATATCTCATGCCGAGGAATGGTATTGGCCGATAACTGATACGAAAGCCATATCTGATCCATCATACCGGGCACAAGAAGGGGTTTACCAATATGTCGACATAGTATGGAATGTGGATCCTGAATGATGGGAGGCTGATCTTGAACGATGAGAGGGTCCCCTTGAACGATGGGAGGGGTCTCTTGAACGATGGGAGGGCCTCTTAAATTATGGGAGGGGCCTCTTGAACGATGAGAGGTGAATCCTGAATAATGGGAGGTGGATCCTGAACAATGGTAGGTGGATCAGGCTTCTTCTTACGCAGTCTTGGAACTATTACAGTGAAAGGAGACTTAATGGCAGGTTCACGACGTCTGATACGTGAACCCCGTCGTGCAAGAAAAACCCGACGTAAAACACCTACCTCATCCGGCCGCTAAAAATAAATTAATACATAAATCAGTAAATAAATAGATAATGTCGAAAAAAGGTTATTTGCGTTTTTAGTATAGTATTTCTTATAAAATTAAACAAACTTACCTCATTGCGTAGAGTATGAACCTCATTCTGCAATGATGAAACAATCTCAAGTAGAGCACCTACTTCATCACATAAAACAGCTACCTCACAACGTAAAACACCACTGTCATCATGTAAAACAACTACCTCACCACGTAAAGACCCTACCTCATCACTTCATGCACCATTTTCATCACGTAAAGCACCGACCTCATCACGTAAAGCACTGACCTTATCACATAAAGTACCTAAATCATCCCGTGGAGGTGGAGAACGGGGAGATAAATATCATGGCATCTTTACTGGTCGCCTATCATAAGGTAATGGTGGAGAAGAGGCTCGATGATGTGATGGAATATGTGATGGATCTTGGTGTCGAGGTGTAGAGTCGGCTAGAGGTGATGGATCTCGGTGTCGAGGTGTAGAATCGGCTTGATTAGGTGATGGATCTCGGTGTTGAAGTGGAGAATCGACTTGATGAAAAAGTGGGGGGTGCTCATCATCCGTCCCATAAAAAAATGCCTACTAGCTTGCCACCAATCAGTGGTAACCTCAGCCTCTGTGGGTCTCAATGTTTGTAATGAATAGTTTGCCTCCTAACAATATAAAAGCCCAAACAAAGTCAAACGTATACTAGTAATAACTTGTTTATATATGGTAGTATTTGTGTTAACTTACATCATTGATCATCATATATGGTAGTAACTCTTCCCAATCCAACAACCGGATCCTTTTCCAAGTAATAGCCCTAGGAATATCATTTGAATTCTTGATGGCATAAGTACGCATGCTGGGAAATATCTCAAATATCCAAATCTACAATATAATACACAAACATTAATTTTAGTAATTGTTAAATAATTAATTTTGGAAACATTATATAGAAATTCTCACCTTAAAGGCCCAAATAAAGCCTACCAAAGTGTATTTGAAACCATGTCCACGCAAACTACGACAGTCTCAAAGGAAGACGACAATTTTTTCCAAGTAGCTTTCCATAGATATGAACCCCACGGAAACACGTTCCATGCATCTAGGTCATCTACCAATAATATTAAATCCTTACAAATAGGATGTCTGCCCTATTTGGCTAAAAGGTCGGCATACAAAAGTAACAAAAGGCATACTCGGACAACATCAAGGTCATCCATCCGAGTAAAACCATCTTTAAGAAGTAATCTTCTCAAATCATCGACGTGTAAAGTGGCCTTCACCTTTGCTAGCTCAGGAAAAACTTGAAATAACCATGATGGGCGGGCGATATGACTAGTGTACAAACCTAATTCATCGTGTCGTTCGAAATGTAGACCAATGACCAAGTAAAACTCCTCCCGCCCAAAATGAGTATACGCCAGTGGAAAATGAAACCATATCTCCTCATCGCCACGTTGTATCCCCTCGGGTAGATCGTTAGTCATAGTCTGTAGAAACAAATGAGTCAACAAAGCATCTCCACTTGGATGTTGTACTTTCAGCCATGGCCCGAAACAAGTATTCTCAAACAAATTTCTTTGGACATGTGTAAGTGTCGACGCAATTGTAGTGACTAGGCTTAATTTATTCATTAAAGTCAATGCAGCCGAAAAAAATTCATAACAAAAACAATAAAAATACCAAGTTAGATATACTAATAATATACCAAAAACTACAAATTATACACATTAAATAGACATGATATTAAACAGGGAAAATATAACCAAATATGTTTCAAACTAGCCCGGTATTCACCCAAGTCATTATTCTATCATAGTTCACAAAATGCATCAGATAACATTCCAGAAGTAAGCACTTATATAAACATTTAAAATGACAACATATAGGTTTAGTGCAGGTTCAAGGCAACATTATAGAAGAGTAGTAGTTTATTCTTGAAACTTAAATTCGCAACACTGTGAAGTTAGTATTTGTCTTTGTTTTTTGGTTGAAGTAATGCAATTCATTCAAGTTTCAATTTACAGAAGAATAGTAGTTTATTCTTGAATCTTAAATTCGCAACACGAAAATCGCAACTCGAAAATGAAATTCGCAATACGAATTTTGAATTCGCAACTCGAATTTCTTTTTCGCATTGCGAATTTCATTTTCGCGTTGCGAATTTTATTTTCGTGTTGCGAATTTCATTTTCGAGTTACGATTTTCGTGTTGCGAATTTAAGTTTCAAAAATAAACTACTATTCTTCTGCGAATTGAAACTTGAATGAATTGTATTACTTCAACCAAAAGACAATTACTAACTTCACAGAGTTAAAGGTTAAATTGTTTAGCAGTATTGGCAGCAACAGAATGAATTTACTAAGCAATCTAAGTGAAATGATTAATCTATATATTGAAATTACGAGTAAATTTAATATCAATTTAAATATGAAAATGATTAATTATCTAATAATAATACAAAATTTTCAAAATAAAAATAATTAAAAAATCTAACCCTCGGTAGTTGATTTTTCATTTGTGGCCGTGAATGGTTGTGAGAGGGTGGCTGTGAGAGATGGAGATGGAGGGGGGTCGTCGGATATGGGGATGGATGTCGCCGGAGATGGGGACGGATGTCGCCATAGAGAGTGAGAGATGGAGATGAGAATGAGTTGCGATTTAGGGGTTTAGGTTATGAGTTGCGATTTACGGGATATATTATTTACATTTGTGTTGCGAAATTAATATTCGTGTTTCGAATTCGAAAATCGAGTTGCGAAAATAAAATTCGCGTTGCGAAATTGAAACACGCTTTGCGAATTATAAAATCTTGTTGCGAAAAGGACATTTGTGTTGCGAATTTAAAAATCGTGTTTCGAAAAAGAAATTCGTGTTGCGAAATTGTCAAATTCGAGTTGCGAATTTTACTTCTTTGTTGCGAATTCCAAATCCGTGTTGCGAATTTGGAAACTGTGTTGCAAAATTATAGTTCGTGTTGCGAATTTGAAATCGCGTTGCAAATTCGTTGGTTATTTTTGCAAATCTAAAAAAAATTGGTTAAAATCGTATATTATAAGGTATTTTCGGTCACTCAAGTTATTTTCTCTTACAAATTTCATCGCTCAATTTTTTTCTTACCTATTTTTAATTTATTCACTAAGTTTTAAATTTACATCAATTTTTATCAATTGATATTAAATTATAAATATGAAGATGTTAGGGCAGCCGCGTAAGTTGATGTAAACTATTTTTACTGATATGAAATTCACATATAATCGATTTCCCTAAAAACAATGGAAAAAGATGACAAATATGAATCTGACCTAAAATTAGAATGTTTGTATAATAAAATATTTAAGAAACAATAAAATACACAATAAATTAAAAAAATAATATAGTTTCAGAAGAATCTAGACTATGATAATGAAAGTTTTTATATATTTAATATTATTTTTAATCACTTTAATATTAAATTTTTTATCTTTTATTAACGTATAATTTCTAATTTTACTTTATTGATTCAGCAGGTCATATTCTAAAATTCCAATGCAATCGATTGAGATTAAATTGGCTTAAAACATCATACGGGTAAAAAAAATTAATCCAATAGATCATTTCTAAAATTAACTTAAGATTTAGACAAATGTATAATACAAGAAAAACTTGTTACATTTCACATAACGAGTTATTTAAATAATATTTTTTTATTTAAATTCGTCGTGTCAAAATAACGAATTTTAATAAAATATATTTTTTTATTAATTTTTTCACGTTAGATTGATAATTTTTAATAAAATATGACGAATTTCAAAATATTATAACTGCCCCAAATAAATTATGTGGTGCCGTATTGGATTAAATAATTAACCCAATTATGATATTCGGCCAAAATTGCCACCGATTGGTCCAATTCTGTAATATTATGGGCTAATGTAAACTTTGGATTCTTTTCCTTCAACGGTAAGAAAGAGAAATAGAGGAAAATGACTTAACTGCCAAGTGTCAACACAACCGTACCCACCCAATCAGTTTTTCATCACCAACATTTGGGTGACAGTTTTTCATCACCAACATTTGTATGTTATCTCAAAAGTATACCCATATTTCGAAAAATTCAGACCTAAATTTTTAAAAAATTTCCCAGAGATTTTGATGGCTAAATTGATGGGAAAAAAACGATAGAAACGAAAACGATAAATTAAATTCATTATAGGGACAACAGTTACTCTTAAACTAAACATCAACAATTGTAGAGTTTACATGTAAGAAATTTACAAAAATAAATAATTCAACAATTTGTAAGCAGTAATACCAACCATTTATGATCAATTTCTCTATTTCTGTAAAGCATAATAGTTAAAATTGTGATAAATTAAAGTAGAGACACTACGTTGTCAATTTTGAAATGCCAAATTAGGAAATGAAATTGAATCAAATATAGGCAAAAGTGATATGACATTTCCAAATCACAAGATTTGCTCTAAAAAAACAACAGATATCAAGGGAGCGGAGCAAAGTTAGACCATGAAAGAGGAAACTTGTGGTGACCAACAAGACCCAAATGAGAATATATTGCAGTGCCTCTCAAATGCCCCTTTCATCCCTTATGGTTTGTTTCACTTTCTTACAATAGAAAAACATTTCTTCTTTATGACAGCCTTGCCTCACTCCAATGCACCTAAAATGACGCCCATGAAGACACTACCATTTCTTCGGGAGACATCCGGTTGCTTCCTATTGCTTCTCCTGATTGCTTCTCTTATTCATTCGTCTTCGTCTCGTGCCTTCTCCGATTCCGAGTTCGCATTCATTGCTCGTCGTCAGACCTTGCATCTACGCGAGAACGATGACTTGACCGACGATTATGAGTCTCATGTGAAGCTTAATTTCACGTTCGAGAATTCCGGACTCAAACGTGCTTACATTGCATTTCAAGCATGGAAAAGAGCTATATATTCGGATCCTTTTAAGACCACTCGGAGTTGGGAAGGTCCCAAGGTTTGTGATTACGAAGGAGTTTTCTGTGCACCGTCCCTCAAAGATCCCAAGTTGATGGTTGTAGCCGGCATCGATCTTAACCATGCCGACATTGCCGGATATCTGCCGGTTGAGTTAGGCCTATTGACTGATTTGGCTCTGTTTCATATAAACAGTAATCGATTTTGTGGGATCATTCCCAAGAGTTTCTCCAAGCTCACTCTTCTACATGAATTGGATGTTAGCAACAATCGTTTCGTTGGTCCTTTCCCCAAAGTTGTAATATCAATACATTCTCTCAAGTTCCTTGACATAAGGTACAATAATTTCGAAGGCGAATTGCCATCGGAGTTGTTTGAGATGGAGTTGGATGCATTGTTCTTGAACAACAATCGGTTTGTGTCGAACATTCCGGAGACCTTAGGCTCGTCTACTGCTTCCGTCATCGTCGTCGCCAACAATAGGCTTTCCGGTTGTATTCCGAACAGCATCGGGAAGATGCACAATACGTTGAACGAGATTGTGTTCCAAAACAACAATCTCACGGGCTGTTTGCCGATGGATATTGGGATGCTTGGGAATGTAACAGTTTTAGACATTGCTTCGAACACGTTCAACGGTATTTTGGCGAAGACATTTAAAGGGCTTGGCAAGATAGAAGAGCTTGATGTTTCAAATAACATGTTGGCCGGTTTTATGTCGGACGACGTCTGCCGGTTGCCGAGCCTGAAGAACTTTTCGTTTTCTTATAACTATTTCAGTGGCGAGGCTGAATCTTGTCTGCCATTGAATAGGAAGGGCATTGTGTTCGACGATATTGGTAATTGCATACCTGATAGGCCTAAACAGAAGTCAGCTAAAGAATGCCAACCGGTGGTAAGCCGACCAGTCGAATGCAGTAAGTCGAAATGCGGTGGTGGCGGCGGTCAGTCACCGCCTAAACCGCCTAAACCTACAGATGATGACCCTTATGATCAATCACCTGTTAAAAGGCAGCGGCCTCCACCTCCACCAAAACATTTGCCACGACCAGTTGTTAAGCCTCCCGTCCACTCCCCTCCTCCGCCAGTCAAATCTCCACCACCACCACAACCACCACCAACAGTCCCCTCTCCACCACCTCCGGTTCACTCACCACCACCACCACCACTAGTCCACTCTCCGCCCCCACCTGTCCACTCTCCGCCTCCTCCGGTGTATTCTCCTCCTCCACCTCGGTCTCCTCCTCCTACCCCAAAAAGAGAAGTCATTCTACCACCTAATATCGGTTTCCAATACTCATCACCACCTCCGCCAAAGTTCCCAGGATACTAACGAGAACATATTCAGTTGTAATTGATTTTAGTAGTTTTACAATGTTACAACATAAACATAGTGTTGTATAGTTTATAGCTAGCTATCATTCCAAAAAGAGAATGTTTATAATTCTCTCGTGCAATACTCACCGGCAATATGTTTACCTGAAAATATGATAATTTAGAAGTAAAGCTGTGCCTGTGCATATGGACTATTGTATTATCTCTTCCAGTTTTCTTTTTTATATAAAACAATTCTCTTTTTTATATCAGAAATAAGAGTTATAGTCAGATAATTTTTAAAATAATTTGAAATTACATAAAAATATCAATTAAGTTAAAAAAATTTAACCACACGTAATAATAAAATTTTCTTATAAATTTGGGTGAATATAACTATCCAAGATAGAATATGTTTAAAGATTTAATTTTTAACAATAATTGTTTATACTTATGTATATGTTAATACTCGAATTTAAGACTTCAAGGAAATATATATATATCAAAAATTTATTTATCAAAACATTAATTGGCCTTTATTGAATAAAGAAAAGAACAAAATGTAAATCTCGAGAAGTCTAAACGAGAATACAACTAAGCAAAACACTAAAAAGAAAAACCATCAAATCATCTTTTTCATAATCCCTGAATTCTTGGATTGTTTGCTTTTTTTATAAAGATAACCGAAATGCACCCAAGAAACCGAAGTTGGCTCATTAAGGTTTATTTTTATTTGGTTGGGGCCACCCACTAAGAGCGCATACTTAAGCATTGAATTCGCTTTTCACTTACTTTACTTAGAGGGGTCTCCAGTACGGAGTTCCTTTGGTTTGCTTCTAGGGCAACTTAGAGCAAGGGATCGTCATAAGACTTTTGCTGTTGATTTTTATAATCAATCCACATCCGTCGGCCATAAGACTTTGGACATCAAGATAAATTCATAGTCCCGAGATAAGTAATTTTCTGAGGAAGAAGGGGAAGACAAGAATGGTTGTTCATTGATCGACCGTCCAATCCAATACTCGTATTTACTGGCCAATTCAAGCATTTCCTCTGACCGTACTGCATTGAATCTACTCAACGGTTCCGGAACGAGCATTTTTTAGTATGAGTTGAGAGTCAAAGGAATAGCTCCAGAATATTTTTTTAGGCTTTTAGTCATATGTATTCCCTTCTTTGAGTGTGCTAGTAATAAGCTGAGAAAGTAAAATCGCGAGGAAAAACTAGTTTGGGGACTAATTGTGGGGTGTACTTTTTGGGCCTGAATGACTTTGCTGGCCATAATGGATGGGCGTGGAATGATCACTCTATTAATTCAGGTGAAAGCCAATATGTAGTTCGTGCTCTCCACCGAGTAAACAAAAGATGTAGTAAGTGATCTAGGGCTACGTCATCCGTGTAACATCCTCCATGTCGGGTGAGTGATTAATTTGCAAAGTTTCAACATTTGATGATTAAAGTAGAATAATTATATAGTTTAAAAAGTATGGTTAGTAAATATGAGATGGAGGTAGGGACCAAATGGTCATTTGTAAGGAAAATTTTAATAAAAAAAATATGTTATGGGGATATATGAGAACCCACGTGGAGTATTAGGTTCCAGAATACTCTCATTCCTTCTTTCTTATTTCTTCTCTTCCTTCTCCAAACGTGGGCTTGCAATTAAAGGTAAGAATCTGAACCTTGGTAGTTTCTTTGATTTTTAAGATTGGAAATGAAAGCTTGGATGTTATATAAGCTAAAGGAAAGCTTATATGACATTAAAACAACAAGATAAGTGTTTTAGAGAATGATTTGGAAAATGAATTTTTAGATGAAATTTTGATAGGAATGAGTTTTTGAAGTTTGAATAAGATTTTTGACTTGTCAAGAAGCTAACTAAGAAGTATGAGGTGTTAGAATTCAAATTAGAACATATTGGAATTTGGGTTGGATTCTTAAATTCTACATGGAGAATTAGATTTCTAGGTTTTAGAGGTATTTAATGGATAATAATCAGTTTAAGTAAGTGTATGAAAGCTAAGAGTAGTAAAGGGATTGAAATATGTATGTTTGAGCTGAAATGGGATGATTTCCGAGCTCAAATTAGGATTTTCGGGCTAGGGGAATTGGTACCCATTCAAGGGGAACCGATACCCCTTCAACGAATATGATTTCCAGAATGATAGAGGGGAATCGATACCCCCAAGGGGGAACCGATACCCCCTCATCGTATATGAAATTCCAGAATGCTTGAGGGGAATCGATACCCCCAGGGGGGAACCGATTCCCCCATGAGAAAAAGAAGAAGAAAGAAAAGAAAGCAAGACTAAGCTATAAATTCTTTAAATTAGTAAGCTATTAAAGCTTAATTTCAAGACATAGACGTCTGATGATCATCTTAAAAATTATGTTTATGTAGATACCGAGCCTACTCGAGTTCGGGAACAATCTACAAGTAGGATCGATCGAGGAAAAGGCAAAGAAGTATAGGTGAGTGCATATGCATAGCATGGATATAGTATTATATTCAGTTCTAGACTTGTGATAAGTCTAGATTCCATATTTTGACATATGACACATTCCATATTATGATACATGACATGAATTTATATTATGTGTATTGCATGACATGAATATGCAGAAAAAGTTATATGAGCTATGTGATAAAGGTATGTAAATGATATGTCTATGTGATAAAGGTATGGAAATAATATGACTACGCGATATGAACTACGGGAAATGTATAAGCCCATGTTATGTAGATGAGAACTATATGTATAGTTGGCATGCCAAGGGTAGAGGGTATACTCGGTTCTTTAGGACATATGTATATCCTTTGGAACCTGTGTGAAGTCTTGAAAGACACATACTTGATCCATAGTATATGTATATGATTCTTAAGGAATTCTACGTGGTCCTTATGGACATAATTCTACGGGCACTTCGGTGCAATTCTACGGGCACTTCGGTGCAATTCTACGGGGCACTTCGGTGCATTTATACGAGCTGTGGTGACAGCATAGTGCACAACCTCACATTACTCAAATACCTTAGGTTCTCAATATGCTATCATGGGCCAATAAACTTATTAATACAGAATAATGAATGTTACAGTCATACGCTTACAGGTATGGATATTGATGAAGTATACTATATTGATTAAGTACATGTTTGCATCTCATCTCATATGATCCTGACATTTTCATTACATTACATTGCCTTATTATTATTGCCTCACTAAGTCGATGACTTAGCGTGTGAGTGTTTCACACGTAGGATCCGAGGAATTAGACGAGACAGGTGAAACAGCTTGACAGTATTACTCCTGCAACCATCAGATCAGAAGCAACTTAATCAGTAGGTCATTTTGTTATGTAAATGGCAGTTGGCATGTAATTAAAGGGTTAAGTTGTGTATGCTCTGAATATTTTTGTAAACTTATATTACAGTATGTATATTATTGTATTTTCTTAATATAAGTTCAAATATTTTACTATTATTTATTAAGAGTTATGTTTTAAAGTCGATGTAGTATCTCTGACTCATATCCGGGTCGGGTATGGGTTGGGGGTGTTACATTTAATGGTATCAGAGCCATGGTTTAGCCGATTCTAGGCATAAACCAGAGTCTATGGAGTCTTTAAATGGAATACATGCCAACAAATAGTGAGAACTTCTGATCTGGTATAGTATGAGTATGCTGTTTTGCTAATAGGATAATGTGTTTATTCTTATTAGATGTCCGGACATAATAGCTCCCGAAGTGAAGCGGGAGAAGATAGGCATGCTGAAAGCAGTAATTCACCTGCCCTGGCCAGGCAAGGTGAAGAACAGGCATCTCAAGGAGTGCCTGTGCAAGATCAAGATACGTTTTTCAGAACGTTAGACGCTATTCTGACGCGTCTTCAACCTCCTGTTCCATTAACTCCACGAATTAATGTAGCAAAAGAGTTAATAAGTTTAGGAGCTCCCGAATTTAAGGGAGAAGCTGAGGAAGGTCCGGTGTCAGCGGATCTTTGGTTGAATGATTTGAAAATCATGTTAGAGGGTCTCCACTGTTCTGAAGTGGAGAAATTAGATGGAGCTGTGTCTTTATTGAGGGGTCAGGCGAGGATATGGTGGACGAATGTCACCATGAGAATGTCAACCGACCAGTTGACTTGGTCTTTGTTTTTAAAAGAATTTAAAAACAAGTATATTGGAGATCAGTTTATCCGACAAATGAAGCAGGAATTTATGAATTTGAAGCAGATGAGCCGCTCTGTGTATGAGTACGAATGTGAGTTTAATAAGCTGAGCAGGTTTGCAGCTGAACTTGTGCCTACTGAGAAAGATGCTTGTGAATGGTTCGTGGAGGGCTTGCGCCCTAGACTTAAAGAAATGTTGATAGTATTAAACCTGTCCTCGTTCCAGGAGGTGATCAATCGTGCAAAAGCTCTTGAAAGGGCTCAGAATGAAAGATTTGGGGACTCAAGAGTTCAGACATCAAAGAGGATGACTACTTCTTCTGGCTCAGCACCAAAAAAAAGGGGAAGAGACTCGGGATTTCGATCACAAACTAGATCAGAATCAGTTGCATCGTCTGCTAGGGGAGCAAGTCAGGCAAGAACTAGACAGACGCAGTCAGTGGAATCCGGTGCTGGGAGATCTACTCCGGGTCAAAGGAAACAGTGTGAGCACTGCGGGAAAAACCATTATGGGGATTGTCGTATGGCAGCTGGGACTTGTTTTCGATGCGGAGAGGCCGGACATTTTGTCCGGGATTGTCCCTTGATTGTTGGTGAGCCGGCACCATCTGGAAGAGCTGGTTCTTTCTCACAAAGAGGACGAGGAAGAGGCAGAGGAAGGAACCCGTCTGAATTCTCTGCTCAACCTGAAGTTCGATCCACTGCTCGAGTATACAACCTAAAGACAAGTGAAGACCGTGATGACCCTGATATTATAGCAGGTACTTTTCAGTTGTATGATAAATTAGTATTGGTACTGATTGATCCGGGTTCTAATTATTCTTATATTACAAGTAAGTTAGTAAAAGAGTTGGGGATTCCCTTA